GTAATGATCATGCCAATATTTGCTAAGATTTTTCGAAGAAACACAGACTGTTTATTTAGATGCCCATCATAATGAAACGATACACCCCGTTTTTTAATCAAAAATGCTCTATCGCCAATATCTGTACGTCACCAAACTCATAAAACGGCTCGATAACATGCGGGTCCTAATGAAAATAACAGTGTTGATACCATGTTGCTAATAAATACTGCTAATGGACTGTGAACAGGTACTTGTCTCGTGTCGTGAAATATAAGTAATTTGGATCAATTTCACCGCTCTTGGCCTTGTGGGGGATATCTCCAAATAAGAAGAATCAATTTTCCGTTATCATGATTGGCATGCCTCTTCTATCATGACTTTCGTTATCTTCGTCTGGTTAAAAGGAGGTCTGAAGTTTTCATTTTTATCATCATTGTTATTATTATTATTATTATCATCATCATTATTACTATTATTTTAGTTATTATTATCATTATCATTATATTATTATTATTGTTGTTATCATCATTAATATCATTATAATTATTGTCATTATTATCATCATTATTATTACTATTATTATTATTGTCATCCTCATTATCACTATTATTTGTTATTGTTTTTATTATTATCATTATAATATTATTATTGTTGTTATTATTATGATTAATATCATTATTATTATTGTCATTATCATCATCATTATCATTATTATTGTTATTATTAGTAGTAGCAGTAGTAATTTTATAATTTGTATTATTATTATTATTATTATCATAATCATTTTCATCGTCATAATAATGAAATATTTTTAATTTATTTAGCACGTTTCCAGTGGATACACAGCGCTTTGCCATTTCTGGGTCAGCGTTAAGGTTGAAATATATATGCAACCAACCAGTTAAAGTGTGAGTTAAATGAACGCCGCATGGTTTCAGAATAGTTATATTCTTCAAACTCTGTTTGAATTGTTCTGTTGTTAGTGATGATGTGGTTACAGAATAAAAACTTCCTTCGAACTCTATTTAAATTGTTTTACTGTTGGTGATGATAAGGTTTTTAGAATGGTTATTTTCTTCAAACTCTATTTAAATTGTTTTACTAATGAGGATGATGATGATGATGAGGTTTCAAAATGGATGTTTTCTTCAAACTCTTTTTTGAATCGTTTCACAGTTGGTGATGATTTCAAATGATGATGATCTCTTACCTCAAACTCTCGGCAACGTTCTGTTTCTCAGCATCAGTTTGAAAAACGGCTAGAGTTGTTCCTGGATGAAGTCCATCGCATTCCGTCTCAGCCAAGCTCCCTTCAACATCGTTAACACTTACGTAATAGCATCGAGATGAAATATAGACGAAGTCGGTCAGGCACGACCCTAAAGAATTATTGATCAATAAGACAAAGAACTGTTAAATACCAATAATATTACTATCTCTAACTTGAGATGCCTTCTGTTTTACAAGCCGTGTGTCTTTGTTTAAAGGTATCCTTTCTTCTGATGTCTTTGTAATATTCGCTGCTTTGTATTCATGGATATGTTTTAAACTTTTGTTGTACTATTTGCAGGGCCCCTCAAGTACAATACAATACAATACAATAAAGTCATTTCTATAGCGCTCTTACGAACTAACTGTTGTTTCACAGCGCTTTACATAAAAAGTTATCAAAGAATCTATTGTTGATCATGGTCAAAGAGGAGAGTTTTTAGACATTTTCGGAAGACAACAATGTTTTACTCACTGATGGGGTTGCCCTTGGTAAATAAAACAAAACAAAATAAATAAATCTATTAATTTACCCATTTATGTTTGACTGTTATATGGTTTACTTCTTATATGATAAATAAGTTAAATGGAACTAAATTGAAAATGAGAGAAATCTATTGTCAATAAATATTGATATTTGTATGAAATATATACAATGAATATCAATATCAAAGTCAAAGGATTTATTGTAATGACTCCCGAGACCCCCGATATGTTTTTACTTGTTATATGATAAATAAGTTAAATGGAACTAAATTGAAAATGAGAGAAATCTATTGTCAATAAATATTGATATTTGTATGAAATATATACAATGAATATCAATATCAAAGTCAAAGGATTTATTGTAATGACTCCCGAGTCTATTTATTATATTTTTCACCTAATAAATTATATTCTGTTAAAACGTGAGCCATTTACATTTATACAAAATAACTATATATTTGGAAAAAGAGAAATTAAGTCTTTCCATATAATATGGAACGCAGAAAGTCTGATGACGATTGGTATTAACAATCTATGACAAAATAATCAATCAACAGCAAATGATTATTTTTTAAACAAAGGTCACGGAAATTCGAAAATTTAAATTCTTCCCAACAAGAAAGGAACGGAATTATATCTTTGATTACTGAAAATAGCTGGGCTATAGGCCTAAAATCTCTAAATCTTCCATATTCTTTTCAAGAAAGTAGAATTTGAATACTTACCCGTAGTTTGTCCACTTATGCAAATAAATTGCAAAACG